TGTGCAACATTGGTAGGCCTGTCTCCTCATCTATGAAAGCAGGACTTCTGTGTACCTTCAAAGGCTGTTTTAAGGATCAAATGTGTCACTACCCGGAAAATACTGGAATATCCTACGCAGCAACTATCTCACGAGTCTGCTTTTCCTGTCTATTCATTCCTTGCCTGGATTACACAAAATCTATTCACTGATCTCCTGGCTTCAAATTCTAATCTGATCAAATCCCTTTTCCAAAATGAAGCCAAAGGAAACTTTCTAAAGTGAAAATATAGCATTTTATTGTCTTGATAATAAAGTTCAATTTTTTATGATCACCTTTCTCAGGGCCCAAGTAGAGCTCTTCAGCTGTGTGGCTGTCTCTCTGCCCTCTCACTGGACACTCCCTGCATATCAGTGTTTCCATTCTTCGACATATCTGAGCGTTATGCCTCCAAACACACTCTTGTTTGAAAATACTCTATACTACACTTTACCTCCTTCTCACATAGCTAAATATATTCACAGTGCGGTTTTTATAGCTAGGAAGTGTATAGGAGAGTAGTAAGCTGTGCCAAATGCTGCTGCTAGATCAAGTTAGACGAGAACTGAGATTGATCGATGGATTTTTCTTTAATAATTACTCAGTAAAGGAATTATTAATGTTTATAAAGCTGAAATTATATGTATTATAGCAGATTTTCAAAGTAGAGTAAGCATAAAATCTTTTACATCTAAAAAATGAATTTCAAAATTCAGTGCCATAATTCAATTAGTGATTGTGAAATCTAGTTTAGATAACATGTAGAAAAGGCAATTGGTTCAAACTAAACCCAGTCCCCTTACAGAGGGAGGTCATAAGTGGTCTATCAAAAGGCCCTGCCTGGATTCTTCTCCAGGCAAAGTAATTACATGTCAACCATCACCATGAACAGCCTTGAGCTCTGTATCTTTATTATAAATATATTTCATCAGAGAATACATATTCTCCCTGTGCTGAGCATGTCTTGTCTTTTGCTACAAGCTCAAGGACTCTTCCCGGCTTTAAAAGGAAAAGTGCATTACCTGGTGGTCGAACATTTTTTTAACATCAAGCACAATGAAATGATTACAGGAAGTTCAGCCATTGCCATTAGTAGAAGAACATCATTTTTCATTGCTAAGATTTTTATTGAGTGGCCATTTCATATAATACATCTTAATCAAATTTAGACCCCTCCCAACCCTGATAACACCAATTTCAGGTATTCTGTCATACATATCAAGTCCTATCTGATCAAACATTTCTATCTAGGTATCCCTCAGTGCGAGCTCATTCACTGGAATCTAGTCAGCCTATATAGAATCACTGCCTTGAATGATTGCTGTGGGGTGAAGGAGAGTGGATGTTCTTTAATGGAATGCATCTTTACAGTGGCTGTTAAAAAGGTTTATCTAGTAAAAGGTTTCTGTAGAATTTGTAGTCAAAGAGCTCAACTTATTACAATTACTATTTTATGTTTACTATAATTCCTAACTCTAAGAATATTAAATAAAGACAAAGACCAGCACATCAAATGTACCCTATTATTATTCTGAAGAAACCAAATGTAGAACTAATTTGTAAAATTTCATTTTTATTGCCACAGAAAATAGTAACAAGGGGGCTGGAGAGATGGCTCAGTGGTTAAGAACACTGGTTGTTCTTGAAGAAGACCCGGGTTCGAATCCCAGCACCCACATGACAGCTATCAACTGTCTGTAACTCCAGTCCCAGGAGATCTGGCACCCTCTTCTGACCTCTACGAGCATTGCATGACACAGGTGCACTTACCTACATGCAGGCAATACACACATACACATAAAATAAAAAAAAAATAAATAAAATTTTAAAAAAGAAAATAGTAACTAATCTAAAAACATGTAAGCACATGCTACTTGTTTTTTTTTTAATTTTTAAAAATGATTTATTTAATAACAACATACTTAGAAGAAGCATATCATTACAACACAATTGACATATTCAATAACGTTTTCCTGAGGTAGGATGCATCTCTTTCAAATTTGGCTGTAAATTTTTAGGTTTACAGTTGAATTATTACAGTTATACAATATTGTACTCAGTATAAACCCTATAAGACATAAATTAAATGATGTTTTAACCTTTAAAAAGATCTCCATTTCATTATTATAATACACAGTTTCATATAGAAAAATTCTTTTTCAATGCAATTGACATTGGATGTTTGCACATGCATTTCTAATCTCTATATACATGACTATCACTGGTCACAGTCGCCCACCTTCTGAGCTCCTCGGCATCTGAGCATGAATACAAACTCGTCAGATAGACAGCCTTCCTCTCCCACTAGAGGCTCCATACTCTGCCATCCCTGTCACTGTCCACTATGTTGTCAGCACCCTCATCCATTCCCCCTGTCTGCCCTTCTGGTAAATCTAGTCAGCCAGAGGTCCCTGTTCCAGGAGGGTCAGCTGTTCCTCATCTACGGCAATCCATTGTCAGTATTCCTTTGGATAGAATTGGGGTCTGCTGTTCATTTTTCCTGTAGTATGTTGGGTTACTGTCTGGAAGAGCCTTTATCTATCCTAGCCAACAACTCGACTGAAGGTATCGCCTGTCTGGCTTTGTTGTTTGTCGAGTAACTTTTAGTTATGTGTATGTATGCTCTTATGATATTATGTTGGCCCCTTTAATCTTTGGTTATACTTCCCTTTTGGGTGTTTAAGGACATACAATTGGACCAGATAAACTGATTTGTTTTTACTCTTGAGGTCGTTAGAGGATTTGTTCCTCAGGGGTCCCATGGGGTTGGGAGGAGCCCCTGGCTCCTTTCTTTTACCAGCTCCATCCATGTGAGGATAAGTCAAAGGTCCTGCTCGACCATTGTTGGCTCCTCTTGGAAGCATGGAGGAAATGATTCCTCCGTGTTGACCCTCCTCTTTATAGACTGGACACTGGCTCAAGTCCATCTGGTGGGGTCTCCTCAGCTTCCTTGATCAAGAGGCCAGATGACCCACCACCATTACAGGACATTTTGCGCGATGCTCATAGTCCCTGGGAACTTATCGACCCAGGAGGGCAAGGAGCAAAAAGTGTCCTTTGAATCCCTCTGACCCAATTAGTATAGATCTCAAGGTATGTCTGTTAAACATCCAAGAAGGTTAGTTCCACCATTCTAGCATTTTTAATTACTGTGTGTCTTGCAGATAAATCTTGGGTAATGACCAGTTGGTCTCAAATAAACCTTATCTAGAGATATTTTTCTTGATCTTTTATGTATAATTTGTCAGTAGATTGTAGGAATAATATGGTTCCCTCTGGTTTTCGTGACTAGCTAGGCATTGTTTCTCTCTTGTATCGTCTCCCCCCTCTATCATGGTTTTCCCACTTAAGGTGCCTGCACTTCCCCCCCTTTCTTCCTTACTAATACCCTTGCTCCCATAATCCTACCTCTGTTGAACTGTTTCTTTCTCCTTATCCCCTAGGTTCCTCTAAAAACATGTAAGCACATGCTACTTGTTTTTAAAGTGTTTTGTGTGCTAATAGTTCTCTTTTCCAGCGTAGTCCGTAGTCACAAAGCATTACCCTTGACAAGGCCAGACTGAGGCTCACTGTAGTCAAAACATTTTCAGCCATTATCCTAATGCATCACTTTTTTGGGTATGGGAACTAATAAAAATCCAGGTAAATAGAGAGAAATACATAGTGTGGCTTATTTTCAGAATTTTAGTATGTAAGAGTTTCAATGTGGTCAAGATGTAATCTTGTCCAGTCCAAGTCTTAAATTAATATCGAAATCAAAACACTTAAAAAAGATACTAAACGAAGTCTTTCAGTGCAATCATGTGCTTCTTAAAGAAAGCAGTGTGCTGACAGTTCCGGACCAGGGCCAGCCAGCTGCCTATTTCCCTCCAGGTCTGGGGGGAGGGGAGAGAGGTGGGGCATGGGTGGGTGAGGGAGCTAAATTTAAGAACTGCTGTTGTATGAAGTGTACAAAAGCTCAATTAAAAAACTTTTTTAAGGAAACAATGCAAAGAGAATATTTTTAAATTCAAAAAGATACTAAACTGCGGTCAAAAGTAGTGCCAGGCTTTCCTTGTTAAAAGCATCCATTCCGTCGTCTCTCTCACCTGCTTCTCCTGCCGTGATTGCTTTCTGACCTTTACTTAGAGGAAACAGATGAAATGGGAAATAACCGCTTACTGCCACTCATATAATCTCTCTGAAATGTATTTTGACTTGTGACCTTTAAATTATGGGGTAAATAGAATGAATCACATCTCCTCTTATGGGCCTGATCTGTGGGTCAAGATATGCTTGCTTTTTATCTGTATGAAAATTCTTTAGGCTGCTATTGCCGAGGAATAGGTGAGGTCAGTGATGAATGGGCATTCCAATTGAGTCAGGCAGGGACGGATCCCAAAGGAAAGTTAAGAAGGAATGGCATCTTTGTGAGACAGATGGTAATTGCTGATGGTCACTTGCCCTTTGTAGCATGTAGAAGGGTCCAAGGGCATTGTCAGCACACCTGGATGGGGAGGAGAGAGCACCTGAGCAGAATGCTGGAAACAGCTGGGGTGGTGGCAAGGGCCATGAAGACAGGGTTTGAAATTGAATAAAATGCCTCAGGCTCCCCCGACATTTCTTCCCGCTAAAAGGGATGTTCTGTAAATACCAGTGTAACACTGGGGATAATGTCCCCCCAATAACACATCAGATCACGTTTAGAATTTCTAAACTGTTTCCATTCAATAAATTGAATCATATTCTTTCAAAGATATTAATGTTTCACAAATCCTAACGGTATTTACAAAGATGTAAAAGTTAAAATTCTAGACAAGATTATCTGAATTTTTTACATCAAAGTTTGATGATATTTTCCTGTGAAACCCTCATATTGGTCACAGTGCCTTCGTCAGCATTCAATAGGAAGTGTGTGTGGATAAAAGTGGGAAACAGCTTGCCTGACTGCTTTGAAAGCAAGCACATCCTACATCATTTCATGCTGTTTTTCTGGCTCTAGATATTGATGAGTGCGGGACCGGGAGGCACAGCTGTGCCAACGACACTATTTGCTTCAACTTGGATGGTGGCTATGACTGTCGATGTCCCCATGGGAAGAACTGCACGGGGGACTGCATCCATGATGGGAAAGTGAAGCACAGTGGTCAGATCTGGGTGCTGGAAAACGACCGATGCTCTGTGTGCTCCTGTCAGGTCCGTCTGCATAAAACATCCTCATTGGGTTCTAATTTGCAGACATTTTAAGTGTACAGATTAATGAGTTTTGACGAGCACACACATCCGTTTAACCAACAGCACAGTTAATGTAAGAGAGCTTATTCATTAACCCAAATGTTGCCAGGTACTTTATCAGCTAATTTCTAGAGCCTCACATAAGTGAACTCGTACAGAACATATTCTCTGGGTCTGGGTTCTTTTTCTTTTTTTTTTTCCTCAGTATTACATTTTTCCAGAATCATTTATATTGTTACATGTATCTGTTCGGTTTCATTGCTGAACAACAGCCCCAGTACCATATTTCAACAGCCTGGTTATCTACTTACACATTGATAACATTTTATTACTATATTAGTTTTCTTAGTTATGATACTACATTTGAACGAATGATGAGCCTTCAACTCAAGAATGAAAAGTGTCTATAGGCTAAATTTTAGTTTTAGGCACATGTTCTGTTGTTTACTCCGGCAATAATAGAGATATACACTGTGGTTAAATGAATGATATTATGTACAAGACACTCAACTGTTATGAACAAAATTGATATTTGTACAAAAACACAATGCCTGACTATTCCAGCAATTGAGCAGTTTGTGAGATTTATTAACTAGCTACCAAGTACTATAATAGCACATCTTGCTTTCACATGAAATAAAATGTAATTAGTAACCGCATTCCTATATAATAATCAAATACATGAATATTGATGCCTACACTTAAGCATCCATGTGGACTAGATGGTAGCTGTCTCTTGTATGCTGGTCAGTTTCTGGACATTTTCTTTCTTGTCAGATCATTTAAGGAGGCGAATGAGGAGGAGAGTAGAAGTCTTGCAGCTTGGCCCACTGCTGTCAGTTTCAAGGTGGAATTGCAAAGGCGCATTACTGCCTTGAGTCCGCAGTTCCAGCCATCACACTCTCCAAACGACATTGGTACTCTGAGACACTGAGAGGCTTGCTAATGCTCTGTCCCCCTTCTAACACAGAATGGATTCGTCATGTGTCGACGGATGGTCTGTGACTGTGAGAACCCCACAGTTGACCTTTTCTGCTGCCCTGAATGTGACCCAAGGCTCAGCAGCCAATGCCTGCATCAAAATGGGGAAACTGTGTACAACAGTGGCGACACCTGGACCCAGACCTGCCAGCAGTGCCGCTGCTTGGTAAGCTCAGCCGCATGTGATGGAGGGAAAGCTTGAGCCTCAATCTAAACAAGAAGAACCCCCACCACCACCCCCAGCACCAAGTTCCTGACCACAGTACTGACAGTTAAAAAAATGAAGCCTGGATGGGATAATGGAGAGATGCACCCAAGAAGGAGTACTCTCAGGTGACACAGTGCTGTGTGCTGTGGGTCCTTTCTACAAGAGTAACACCTCTTTTGGGAGGATTTCTATAACCAAAGCTAAGATAGCCTCCTACTTCCCTGTGCCATCCATCTTGTGCTCAGCATTAAGAATAACACAATGCATTCATGAAAGAAAAAAAAATCATTCTTTTTTCAAGCAAAAGGTTGTTAACCAATCTTTATCACACTTTAAAAGGAAAACAAAAATAACTTTTGGACTGGGAAGATGGCTTAGTAGTTTAAGCACTTGCCCTAAAAGCTTGAGAATCAGAGTTCAGATTCCTAGAACCCAAGTAAATGCTGTGTGGGCATGGTGCCTGCCTGTAATTCCAGCCTTGGAAGATGAAGGTAGGGGATCCCTAGAGCGAGCTGGCTAGCAATGCTAACCATATCAGTAGGCTCTGGATTTGCTGACAAACCATGCTTCAATGAATAAGGTAGACAAGCAATCAAGGGTGATTCCTGACATCAACCTTGAGCCTCCACAGGCACAATTTATCTATTTCCACTCACATGCATCCACATGCATGCAAAACATGCACACCACACAACACACATTCATGATTGGAAAAAAGAAAAAGAAACTTTTTATAAGATTATTCCTGTCCATGCTGTTTTGCACACACTGTCAATAGGTGATAAATACATATTATAATTGGATTTTAGTATGTATTTGTGAAGCTTTTCCTGTAAATGGTGGGTAAGAGGAAATTAAGATCTGATAAAGAAAACACCAACTCTTTTCAGTTGACTAAATTTATTGCTTCTTCCTAATTATATAAATGAAAGGGAAACTTGCTATATGAATTTCCGTAGCAGAAAGTTTCACAGGAAAGGTTACTTTGTAAAAAGTATTTGATTTTATTATTTTTATGTGTATATATGTATTGCCTGCATGTAGGTAAGTGCACCTGTGTCATGCAATGCCCACGGAGGACAGAAGAGGCTGTCGGATCCCCTGGAACTGGAGTTTCGGACAGCTGTTAGCTGCCATGTGGGTGCTGGGATTCAAACATAGGTCTTCTGCAAGAACAGCCAGTGTTCTTAACTGCTGAGCCATCTCTCCAGCCCCATGGGAAAGTTACTTTCAAAGTTACAGCCCGTTTCCTTTCTACCTGTATAAAGATATTTTTAAGGCAATGCTTTGTGCTTGCTATCTTTTTATTCTTTCAACTAAAAATTAAAAAAAAAAAAATCAATTGCGAGAGCAAGGTCAGTTCTGTGTCCGAAGCTGCTTTCATCTCTCAGCCTGAGGTTTAAAATTATGAAGAAAATAACAAACAGGTGGGAACTATGATTTTAAAATGGTCCAATTCACACAATTTTGTCATGTGAAATAGAACAAAATCAGGTTTTCGTTTTGTCTTTGTTTTGTTGGCAGCGGTGTGCTTAAAGTCCTTTCACTGAAAAATGTATAAATTGGTAAAGAAACTGTCAAATTCTGTTCATATTTCATTCCAGTTTTACAAATGGACAAAAGTTTATGAGCAAGGAATAAAGGAAAAGTTAGCAGGAGAAGCAAGAATGGAAAGGACACCTCCAGATCAAAGACTTGCATAAAAACCTTCCCGCATGTCTCCTTGCCCAGGGAAGCACTGAGCCAAGCGTGTTTTATTGTTTAAGGGAGGTGGTTGCTGCTTTTGTTTTAGTGTTATTCTTGTTTACTCCTTGAAGACTGTTCAGAAATCTGTTGCAATAGAGATTTCATCACTGAACGTGGCTTCCGTAGCTTCTCTTTGAGATTTGTGCTTTGAAGATCCATGTATCAAGCTGTCTCTCCTTCCCTTCCCTGCCTCCTTCCCTTCCTTTTTGATGCCCCACTTCCTTCTGTTTCACTACCTCTGTTTTTCTTGCAGCAAGGGGAAGTTGACTGCTGGCCCCTGCCTTGCCCAGAAGTTGAGTGTGAATTTAGTGTCCTCCCGGAGAACGAGTGCTGTCCACGTTGTGTCACTGACCCCTGCCAAGCTGACACCATCCGTAATGACATCACCAAAACTTGCTTGGATGAGATGAATGTGGTTCGTTTCACTGGGTCTTCTTGGATCAAGCATGGCACTGAGTGTACTCTCTGCCAGTGCAAGGTGAGGTACTCAAGTGCCAGGAGTGAGCACTTTGCCAGCTGTGCCCAGGGCTCAGAGATGTTTTACCAGGCTCTTTTCTCATTCTTTGTGTCCTTCAGGCAGAGGTGGGAGGGAGGAGTGCCACTTGGTTTTGTTGGTGCCATACTGACTGCCTGTGCATCTGTGATGGGTCTTCAGGAAGAAGAAGCTTGTGTGCACTGCAGCCAGAGTGTTCAGTAGATACAACTTTGTCCTAATGCAGGTAGCCGCACGTGTCTCTAGACAAGACAGAAACACCACATTTCATGTTTCTCCTTTCATGATGGAAAACAATATTATCTCATTGATTTTTATCTAGTTCTTTTATGAATTCTATAAAATATATTGACAAAGTAGATATATTACATTTTCTAAAGTGAAAATCAATCCGGCAGAAATGGACATGTTTCTTGGTTGTTGTGGTCAGTTATACTAAATTGAAAACTTTAAGGTCTGCTATTTACTATATTTTATTCCTACAGTTGGTGAAAATCATTATAAAGATTTTTCACTTTATTCTCCTAGGAAAATAGAACATTAAGGCTTCTATTTCAGTGACTGCACATGATACCCGTGATGTGGGCAGAATAGATACAGTTCACAGTAGCCAAGTTGAAAACACATTCACTTGATTATTATTCCTATAAAATTCAATTTAATTTAGTCACCTTTATACTTCATAGTCCTAATTTGGAGGTTAACACTAAATAAATAACATCTAGTCTTATCAAGGATAAAAAATAAAATTAAGCTCTCACCTTTGCCCATCTGTATCTGCGGCAGGTTTAAGTGAGCATTTTCATTTTATCTTATTTCCATGGAGCACTGTCATTCATACTTACCTAGTAAAAATTCTTACTAGAGAGGCCTGATTAACAGGACAAAGAAATATAAAACACTTTAAACTTTGAGTTATCTTTTATATCTCTTTCAAACCCAAATTTCTAGCTTTCAATGAACACACTGTCATTCAAGCAAGTTTTTCAATGAACATTCGCTGCTGTTTTCTGAAAGTGCACTAGCACATTTGAAAGTAACTGCTAGCACAAGTCACTAATAATGCATAAGCAGTGTGACTTTATGTTTGGTGTGTGTATATTTACCACAAAGATCTTAAAATTACAGCACTGGTGTCCAGCAGGCAGATGCCTCACCGGCATGTAATTACCACATTGACCCTGATCCTCTTACACCCTTGAACTGTTAGACTGTGGTTCTGCACATTGACAACAAAAACGTATACCAGGTGGTAGGATGAAAAGTCCACCAAGCAGAGCTTTTCTACAGGAAACCTTGATGCTTCCGAGGTGCTTATTGTTGTTGTTCAATACCTTATAAACATTACGCTATGCTTTTGATTCTTGGTAAGAATGTGTGCCAGAAAGTATTTGGTATTGAAATTATATATTCTTCTGAGATAATGTTTCTTAGACATTATTATTTGATACCACTTGCTTTATTAAACATAGATTATAGCACAATAATTTTTAGCAGATTCACCCACAATACTGTTTTTATTATGTCTCTTCTGTGCCATTTAAAAAACGATGTTCTTGTAAAGGAAATTTTAGATACACACTGGAAGTGAGTAGCTAAGGTTCTTCACAGTTTATTGCTTTCAGACACTGGTTTTCAGACCTCGCCCCCCTACCCTGCTCTGAGTTGTTCGTTTTAGTTAGTAAATATATACCAACAAAGTCGAAAGCATTCTAACTTCAATGCTTTTTACAACATTCTTTGTACTTCAATAACATTGGAATTAACACTAAACTCAACTCAGTCGTGTAAGTATTGTGTAGGTATTGTGCTGACACCAGGGTATAATGTTACATGAACACAGCCAACCACTCCTTGAAGCAAGCGTGTAACAGCGTATTGTCTGCTACAGGGCTGTTTAATGCAAATTAAATAACAAAGTTCAGTTACCTCATCACACTACCAAACTTCAGTTGTTCAATGAACTTATGGCTTCTGGCTATCATATTAGATGGCATATGTAGACATTTTTTTTTCCCTTTGAAATAGGGTTTCACATATCCCAAGCTGGTTTCCAGTTTGCTTTGTGACAGAGAGGATGACCTTGAGCTCCTGATTCTTCTGCCTCCTACGTGGTGTTGGAATTCTTGGGTTTCATGTATGCTAAACAAGCACTGTACCAACTCTAAGACATGTAAACAGCATTTCTGTCATGGCAGAATGTTGTGGTGGACAGAGCTGCCATAGAGGTTGGGAATGCAGTCTGAGAAATCACACTACCTGAAGTCAAAGAGTGGTCAACCAGGATGATTATGTGATATCAAGGCACTTCCCTTCATTTCTTTGAGACCCCATTTACTCACTTACCAATGGAAATGATGGAGTGTAGTAGTAGCTTCCTGAAAGGGTTGGTGTAAGGATTAAGTCAGAGGACTCATGGCAGATTCATACGATGGCCAGCACTTTCAGGAAAAGTACCAAATACATGTTGTCTGTTATTATGTGAAGTAAGTAGGCATTCATAGAGTCACCCCAAAAGAAAGTCGATACTACAACTCTGATGGACACTGTCATGGAGATCTAAGGAAAGGTGACTTAGCCATCGCTGGAACTTTTATGTTGTCTGTTATTATGTGAAGTAAGTAGGCATTCATAGAGTCACCCCAAAAGAAAGTCGATACTACAACTCTGATGGACACTGTCATGGAGATCTAAGGAAAGGCGACTTAGCCATCGCTGGAACTTTATTTTGTACACAGCATGTTGCCCCTTTCCCTTGTCTCTTTTCAGACTACCTTTGGTTTTTAGCAGTTGTATTATGGTATACTTAGGTCTATGTGTGTGTGTGTGTGAGTGTAAGTGTGTGTACGTGTGTGTGTGTGTGTGCGCACGCACGCGCGCGCGTGTGTTGGCTGAGATTTTTTAGACTTCTTCCTCTCCCTGCTAGTCTTCTGGGACTGCAATTTCACACGTGTTCTGACATACCCTAAGGTAAAGTGCTGTTGCATTTCTGCTCTTCTGTTCTGTGGACTGGATCGTTTCTCTGTCCTCTCTCTGAAGTTCCTGGCTCTGTCCTGCAATTTATCCTCTTTGCAATCCACACAGTGAATTTTTCACTTCAGCTAATATACACTTTATTCTTGAATTTCCATGTAATCTGTTTTATATTTTGATTTTTCTATTTGCCCTCTATCATATTTTGATCACTGTTTTTTGTTTGTTTGTTTATTTGTTTTGGGACAAGGTCTCCCTAAAGCTCCAGCTGGCCTGGAACTCTTATGTAGACCAGGCTGGCCTCCTGAGACTCTAGCCTCTTCCTCCCAAGTGTTTAGATTAAAGGCATGTACCACCACACTCAGTTTCTGGTCACCATTTAAAGACCATCTTTGGATATATTTTCCATAGATACTTTCTAGTCTTCACCTGTTACTTCTGAATCATCTTGGAATCATTTTTCATTCAGTACATCTTTTCTGACTAGAGTGACACGTTGTTTTTCTTCGTATATCTATTACTTTTTACAATATACAGAATTTCGTGTAGATCTTGTCTGTGAAACATCTATTGGAGTCCTCTGAAGACTTCTCATTCTAGCTGTCAGTTAATGGACAGTCACTTCACACTTGTGGATCTTGTCTTCGTACCTGTTAGGTGGGTCTGCTCCAATTTTCTTTCAGGTCTAGAGTGAACTTAGTAAGTTTAAGATAATATTTTACTTCTAATCATGGTCCTTTGAAACTTTTAATGACATTTTGAATTGTTACCCACCCTTTCTGTCTTGACAGGGCACAGACTTTAAACAGTGCCCCACCATAGCAGCTGAAATCCCTCCTCAGATCTTCCAGCATTCCAACTGGAATCTGATCAGCCCTTTATTCTCTTGTGTGATTAAAAACCCAAGCAGCCGGGTGTGGTGGCGCACTCCTGTAGTCCCAGCACTTGGAAGGGAGAGGCAGGAGGATCTCTGTGAGTTCAAGGCCAGCCTGGTCTACATAGTGAGTTCCAGGACAGCTGGGGCTACAGGGAGACCCTGCTTCAAAAAGA